TGATGTAAAATAGTAAATATCGATATTAGATCAAAGTTGTGTATCCAGTTTTATACTCTTTAAAATCAAACTATTTTTTTTCTTTTATTCTCAGACATTATTATCCTGATGTGTATGCCTGTTATAATACATTTATATATTATTATTATGATTGCAATAAAGATGAATTTGAATTTGAAGATTTATACTAATCTAAATGATTGAATCATCGATGATTGTTTTTTTTTTTTTGTATTGCATGTCTTGTTATCAAGCTCCGGCTTAAAATATGTGACGTCATTTGCCCTAATTCATTTGGGTCACCAACACTTCCTTGAACTCGGTTAAACCACAGAGCTATTTTCTCTATGGTTCAACCTTTCACGAAAGTTTCAATTATATCATTTGATTATTTTTTAAATATTTGGTCTGGAACGTTTTCCTTTAGGTGGTCCTCATTTGCACACCCTACTCCGGTTAGTCACCAAAATGTAATCACCTCATTCTTGGGTTATACCTAACAATCCCTGTAACTGGCATTTAAACCAGTGCAGCTGTTTTTCGGATTTTTTTTACACAAGAAACACGCAGGGCCTTAAGAATTTAAATGAACCTCAAGATCACCCTAATTTGGATCGTGACCAGCGCTTGATAATTTCTTGCTTGTAACTTGCTTAAACTTTCACGAAAGTTTTATTTATGTTGGGTGATTAGTTTTTGAGATATCTTGTCTAGGACAAATTCATTTAAGTGGTCCTCACACCCACACCCAGAGTATGGTCGTAGCGGCCGCGAGGGAAAGCGGCCGCGCTCAAAATGTATGGAACGCCAGTAGCGCTATACCGATTGATTGGGATACGGTACGCTATAGCGTTGGTCAATAGCGTTCATATCGTACTCGTCAATTCTAGATGTTTCACTCAGTTTTATTTGATCAGGCAAGTGTCTCGAAATAAAGAGAAATCAGTGTTTCGAAATAAAGAGAAATCAATGTATAATTATCAGACTTGTACTAAAACAATTTATATAAAAAATGGAATATTTTTTATTTCTGGTAGTCTTCTTGGCCCTGGTTGATTAATGGTCGATTTGTTTACAGATTGATTACAGATCGAAACATTTTTGTACGTACATGACAATTGAATTATGATATGATTAAATTGATATTTATTATATGTTATCAGTTCGGATTTTTTATGTATAATGAAATTTTATTTTATATTTCTTTCAGGACACAAACGGATTTAATCATGGGATCTGTCAATACTAAATTTACAATGTAATAAAATGTGATGAACGTGAAAAACATAGGTCAACGCTTAATGATACCGTACATTGTCATCATTATTATTAATTAATTATTATTATTATTATTATTATTATTATTATTATTAATTACTATTATTATTAATGATGATACAGATAGGTGTCTTTTACAACACACCGAAAATATACGTAACAAATTTTACTAAAATAACATGGTATACATTTCTATTTTATTTGATAAAATGATAAGGATATAAAACATGTGAAAGTCAATCAAGTTATTAATTACAATAAACCAAAGAAATAAATCGTATAGAGGGTCTATACATGTTTTAAAATAATTTAAATTAATTTATTTATTCTATACTGTAGGGTAGATATCTTTTTTAAATACATGGTACTTAGTTGCTAATTTCAAACAAAATTTAATCTAAATATGAAATTTATGTGCGGATTTGGTTTGCTTGTGTTGGTGTTTTATTTGATAAAATGTTTCCAAATAAAAATAAATTCCAGCCTACTCCGGACAGTCACCAAAAATTAATCAATTCTTCGTTGGCTTATACCTAACACGCCCTGTTATTTTCAAGTACTGCACGTCTGTCCAGCCGATTTTGAGATATTTTGTACACAAAAAACTGAAACAGCAAAGCGTTACACTCAGACAAACATAAAAATCAAAAAACGAAAACATATATCTTCTGGCGGAGATGATGATGATGATGATGAGGATAATGATCTGGTCACTGGATCCACAATTTGGCAAACCGGAAACCTCCACTCCCTGTCCAGTCGTGTTTGCAAATTAATGCAGATACAGACTAATACATTCAATGCCACATCATCCTACCAGGTACCCATTTATACTCCTGGGTGAAGAGAGGCAAATGCAGATAAAGTATCTTGCCCAAGGACACAAGCAGTGTGACGAGCATCGGTTTCGAACCCCCAATCTTCCGATTGAAAGTCCAACGCCTTACACGCTGCATTACACTGCTTCCAAAGTGAAGTTAAGCATGCTGCTCGTACAAATATAAATCATTTTTATTATTATTATGGAAAACGCTCTTTCAATACAAATTAAATTACTGTTCTCCCAAGAGGTCCAGATTTGGTAAAGATAATATAAATTAAAATGTCAGAAAATAAAAGAAATGATAAAAGGTGAAAAAAAAATTAAATTTACAATTAAATTTATCAAGTTACCAAACAATAAAAAATCAATTTGATAAATTATAATCAAGTCGGTTAATACACGTTTGATAAACTTGGTTCCTGTCCCTAATTTTGTCTTAATCAGTGAAAATTATTGTGTTTTGGCACCGATGGCGTTCCATAATACTTATTTGCATGGCGTCCCATAGAATACTTTTCTCTGATTAGGGACTGGAAAACAGTGAAGATTTCGAGTTGCAGACACCACAAAATCGTGGTGTCGTGTAATATTTTTAGAAAGCTCCTGATTGGCTAACCACTTGAATAATTTAAACACGTTATTGGTTACACCGTGCATAAATTAAACATACTAAATTTACTTCACCTTGGTCTGATAGCGATGATTCAGGACACAGGCAACCGTGACTTCTACTAGGCCATAATCGCACACGGATTCGTTGAAGCTCATGTTGTCTCGGCTAGTTCAGCGCATTCAGAGGGAAGTATAGAGCAAATTGTTGCACATAAGGCTGTAGCATTGAGCAAACATCGATTAACATACATAAGATTTGCTTAAACAGTATGTTTTAACTATACATGTATTTGTAGTTAAATATGATAAATCTTTAGAGTTTCAAAGTGGCTCAGTAAGATTTGGGAACAATAAAAACATTTAAAAACAAAATATAATAAATGTATATATATATATATATATATATATATATACACATACATACATAATACACATATATATACATATATATACATATATACATACATATATATACACACACCTATACATACATATGTACACCCATATATACACATATACATATACATATACACATACACCTGTATACATATATATATACATATATACATACATATATACATATACATATACACACCTATACATATATACATACATAATGTATATATGTATGTAACATGTTGGTGATGATCAAAAGATATCCAATCCACGTATGCTTCAATATATATAAAATAAGTAAGCAGAACAAAAATAACATTCTTCACAAGGTGACTACTTTGAAGCATATATTTTATTTAAAAACCAAATTTTCGGGAGCGCCTGCTCCCATCTTCAGGGTTACAATTGAAATGACTCAAAACAGCACTTAAAGACTAATTAAACAGCATAGGCTTAAATGTATATGGCAAATAACAATCAATATAAATTATTACAGATCAGTGACAAATAG